ATGTTACTCTAAAGAAGAAACTAAAACTACCAGCAGGTGGCGTTAAATGTCTTTATGAGTTGATTCATTCAAACGGCTGATTCATTCAGGAATGAAGTAAACAGCTCTTTATCCCTGCGTTCCATTTGGAAAGGCTCATCCCTATGCCCTAATCCCTTCAAAGGGTTTACCCTCCGGAGTGAGAGCTTCGAAGGGTTGAAGGGTGTAGGGGACCAAACAACTGTTCCTTGAAGTGCCCTTCTGCGTCATCATCATGTGCCGTAAGTAGGATAGGCTGATTAAATTAGTCTTTATTTTAATGTGATACAAAATTATTTTTTTGTCAGTGATATAATGAAATATGATTTAAGATGGTAGTTTAAGCATGTTTAGTTTGAAAATTTTTAATAGTAAATAAGACACAGTGAGACAATATTTAAATAAAATAATAATGAGAAGAAATATTTATTTGCAACAACTGATGGAGTGCTGAATGCTGCACGCACACGCTGCGTTGTCAAGGTAACGTTTGGTCAGTCATCCCTTCGCCAAGGGAGTTCCAAATGCTTATACCAGACAGTAATGCCCTACACCCTTAAAACAACACACTTCAAAGGGCTCTGCCCTTCGAAGGGAGTAGGGCATATGGATGCTCACTTCTGTTTGGAATTCACCCGAAACACCGCTGTGTTGCTCGGAGACGCACAACAATGGACCTTTTTCACATTTCCGGGTTTCTCAGCAGAGGAAGTCGTCATAGTTGGGTTAACTTGAAGAGTGATAGTGTTTTCCTGACTTTCAATAAAAGGGAAAAAACAGAGCGAGACTGTTAACAGCAGTCAGAAGAGAGAACATTGTCAAATTTACTGTCCCTCCCATAGACGCTGCATTAGAAACATTATTTAGAAGCATTAGCGTTAACTAGTTTTTTTGTAATTTGATGCAAAGGTAATATAATACAAAGAATAGTGTTATATATGTACATACATTTAAAAAAAAAATACAAATATGAAAAACTTTAGAGGATTTATGATGCTGATGACTGTTAAACGCGTCTTCACAGTCTTGTGAAAAGGGTCCATTCTGCTCTGACTTTATAGGTAATATTTACGTTGGCAAAATATGTAAAATAAAAACAATTTAAAATATTGCACAATATTAACTTCTTATTTACTGAACTGAAAATCACATTTGCACTCGTATTCTTTGTGACAAAACCACCAGCACTCGTGTGATATTGTTCTCGCTGCTGGTGTGATATTGCTTATCATATGATATAAATATGAGACAAAAACTCATACAGGGGCATTTTTTGCCCCAATATCTTGAATTTTAGGGCATAACTGCATTTATGGAGTTGTTGCCCTGGATCATATTTGTCAGCAGTCAACTGTATGAAATGTAAGATGTCGTACAGATCTGGGGGTGGGGCCAGTGCGTTAAAATATTTTAATCGGGTTATTTTTTCATAACTAATTAATTAAATTAACTAAATAATTAATTATTATTAAACTGACAGCCCATATATATATATATATATCTCAACAAAAATAATAAAAAATAAAGTGTTAATAGTTTTCAATAGTTAAGTCACCATCAGTGTTTCCTTTGGCTGGGACCTAATTTGCTTTTAATTAATTTAACTAAAAGCCATAATGGTGTTACAGAACATAATTGGTTTCACTGTGCAACATGAATAAAATAAAGCAAGTGATTGACTCATTACTCAAACTTCGCTGTACATATTAACATTGTAAGTTATAGAAATATATTAATTGAATGAACAATTAAGGGAGGAGGGATTAGCAATATTGTGGTGAGGTAAGTGGTTGTTGTCCATTACAAATATTACAAAATTTAGTATGATCTCTCGGGCATATAAAACCCATTAACTCTGATAATTATCAAATATAGTCTCAAAAATAAACATAATTAATATGAACAAGTAGCTAAATAATAATAAACCATCAAACAGTAAAAAAAAATGCAACCACATAATTTATGCATGCGATGCAGGCATATTACTGTGGATGCCACACTATTACAGTTCATGTCTAAATATAAAAGATCACTGTAATGCAGACACAGACAATTGTGACTGAACTGTGATCAGCCTTTTCCTGCTCCTATTCACTGTGATTTCACTGTATTCAGTAATAATGTAACTGTAATAAATTGCACAATTACTGCTGTACAATGTGAAAGTATGGCAAATAGTAAATCCCTAGTGTAAATCCACATTAATATTTTTACAGTGTACTACCCACCTCCTCAAATTTCTCTGCGATCATGGCGAAGGCTTTGAAGATGACCTCGGACTGTCCGGTAATGGTGACAATGCGCTCTGGACTGGAACCGTCAGATATATTAATCCGGGCTCCACTCTGAATCCACAGAGAAAAGCAGAGTTTTTGTGCTGCATTACATTTAATTGATCAGTCTTGCCTTTAGGCTGACATTTGCACCCTCTGGCAGTGAAATACCAGTGAACTGATCGTGAAGATAATAAGATGATTTTGCTCTGAAACTGAAAATGATTCCAGACGGTTTTCTGCGGTCTAATTTTTGATATACCTGACATGTGGCCACCCAGATGAGTTCTTTAAATCTTTACACAGCTAGTCAGCATTAATAACGTGTTAATAAGAAAAAATGTGTTAAAAACCTTACTATGTGAAATATAAAATGATGTTTTGATATTTATAAATAAATTAAAATGACTATATATGCAATAATAATATATGCAATGATTAGTCCTATTTGATCAAGATCAATGTAGCACTTACTTCCACTCTAATTTTTTTGACAGTCTCTCCTTTCTAAAACAAAGCAAGAGAAAAATCATAATTATATCAGAATGTGTATATTACAATTAGTTTGTAAGCCATATTTAAACACAGTAAGAAGTGCTTAGGAACTCCAAAGAATAAAGACTCAAAGTTATGCTTAATTCAATAATGCAATTATCAGGATAATACTGGATTGTTTACCTTCCCAATGATACTTCCAACTTCCTAGAAACACACAAACCAGACAAAATCTCAGTTAATCTTAAATGATTGCATGGTAAACTGGAGATTATGTTTATATATTAAATATATTTTATATAATGTAAATTATATGATTTAAATATATGCATATAAATGCATGTAAATATTTTCAAAATATATACTGTGTGTGTGTGTGTATTATGTATATTATGTATATTATACATATATTATGTTAACAAAAACTTTTATTTGGGATGCGATTAATCGCGATTAATCGTTTGACAGCACTAATTGTGTCATGGTTTCCAAAAATATTAAGCAGCACAACTGTTTTCAACATTGATAATAATAAGGAATTTGTTTGTTAAGCAGCAAATCATCATTTAGAATGATTTCCGAAGGATCATGTGACACTGAAGACTGGAGTAATGATGCTGAACATTCAGCTTTTTCATCACAGGAGTAAATTACATTTTAAAATATATTCAAACAGAAAACAGTTCTTTTAAATGGTAATAATATTTCACAATATTACAGTTTTTACTGTATTTTCGATTGCATAAATGCAGCCTCATTTCATCATATCACACCCATCCTTTCAGACCCAGACTGCTACAGGTACCTTGTCATAAGAAAAGATGATGAAGGAGGCTTCCGGTTTGGCAAAGTGAGGTGAAGACGCGTGTTCGCAGAGCTCCCGATAGTTTCTGACAATAAGTGCTTTAATATGGCCATTTAAGTGATCTAAAACATTTTTTATAAGTGTTAAAACAGTGCTTAGTGCAATCGTATTGATATAGCAAGATGAGCAAGAACAAATCAGTAGTAAATCACCCGCCAACAACGAGAACCAGCATAGCTAGCAAATTAGCTACCATGGCTAGCGCAGGGAAATCTGAAGAAATCCCTGCAGATAACGATGGTATCTCTATGAGCCAGCTGGTAACGGAGTTAACAAAGCAACGAGCTTCGATAAAAGAAGACATCTGGTAATCCTGAAGTGATTATTTCTCTAGACGCAGAGAAAGCATTTGATAGAGTCGAATGGAAGTATTTATTTGCTGTATTAGATAAATTTGGATTTGGCTCAAAATTAATTTCCTGGATTCACCTGCTTTATCATCAACCTAAGGCAGCCGTAGATACCCTTGCAGACCTAGTTCAGCTGCTGTGGAACTTCAGGGTGGAGTTATGAGGTTTACTGACAGTTTGAGTGGATCCAACAAGATTTAGTCACAAGCTCTTTTTAATACCTTTCATTAGCTAAATATTTGTAAAGCAGACAGACAGATGTAGGGTGACCAATATCATTGATTTATTGAAGGAACAAAAAAAACACCATCACCAAAAAAAGGGCACTTCGGAGTGTAAGGGCAAAAAGGGCATGTGCTCTGCACAGGTTGAGCCCTACCTGTGCACGTGCCTGAATAGAACTGTTGTTTTAATACAACATAAAGTGAATTGAGTGTGACTGTTTATCTATTTTCATACTATAAAACCCCCTGTGATATGCCCTTGTGTCTTAGTAATATATTTTTCTCAGTATCTGTTCTTAGTTGCAGACACTCTCCAATATAACGTCCCACAGGTCTCCTTCTGAGAGGCTACATTATCAAAACTATTGTGACCTGAATTTTATTTTTGTACATACCAGTCATAGCGGTGTGAGGTTAACCTTAAGAAAGCACACAAAAATATGTTACAAAAGTTAGTGAGATTTATCATGGTGACACTGGTAATACTGTGGTATTTTTTAAAAACGAATTTCATGTGTGTGGTTGTTAACACCAAGCGAGTTTTCAACTGTTTTCTTTTTTAATCTATTACAAAATGTAATTTATTCCTGTGATGTAAAGCTGAATTTGCAGCATCATTACTCCAGTCTTCAGTGTCACGTGATCCTTCAGAAATCTAATTCTAATATGCTGATTTGCTGCTCAAGAATCATTTCTTTTTATTTCCAATGTTGAAAACAGCTGTGCTGCATTTTTTTTCAGGATTCTTTGATGAACTAATAAAGAAGTAAAATAATGAATCCACTTCAAGATAATGATAGGTGATCAGTTACAGTTTTTATACTTTTGTTAAGGTTGCTAACTTCCCTCTGCATGCGAGTCCACCAGACATGCTTCAGAAACGTCTTGAGGTTTTAATGAAACTCTACTATATTTGTCCTGCAGACAGATCAACAGTCACACTGCTGTTGGACTTTGGTCTCGGTTCTATCAATTGGACATGGTAAGCGTTACATAAATTCGCGAAAGAGGGAGCTCTTGTGTCTGTCTGTCTCTACAGATATGGAGACACAGTCTTCACTGGAGTTTCAGGACTTATGCACTTTTGAGAGTTTTAAGGGTTTCTGGCACTATTATGGTTACGGCGTTGATCAACAAGATCTGATCGATCGGGAATTTAAACGGATTAAAGGTAAAAGAAGGTCCTTAGCCTCCTTCACGTTCAGTAACGTGTCAAAATCTGCATGTGGTGCTGCTACTTACTCTCACGCTTTAACAACATACGAATATTTGTTTGTTTAATAAATAACCGATTTTGTATTAGACAGACAAAAAACAGCCTTCTAACTTCTCCAGCGGTTGAGAGTGTGGGCCTGTAATGCTGCAATGTTTACTTTCGCTTTAGTTATTGTCATTTGGTTAGAATTAATGCAGCGCCCTCTGTTGATCTCAATATGAATTACATACAGAGGCTGAGTAGTAGACGCTAATAGGTTCCTCGTTCTCTTTTTAAGGTGTTACATACCTTGATCATGCAGGGACAACGCTATTTCCTGAATCTCAGATTAAAGGATTTTATGATGATATATCTAGGAATGTTTATGGTGAGTTCCTTCATATGCATTGTTGAATGCACAACTTAATAATATCAATATCATAATTTGCTTTAGATCATAACATCCTTTTCTTTGTCAGGCAATCCTCACAGTCATAATCCCAGCAGTAGACTGACACATGACACTGTGGAAAGTGTCAGATACAGGTAAGCACTTTTGCACCATCTGAATTTTCAGTGAGTCATAGCATAGAAATATTTATTACAATTATATAGTATACAATTATAACAGAAATAGGAAAGGCACACACGGTATCAATTGTATAGTATACAATTATAACAGAAATAGGAAAGGCACACACGGTATATATATATATATATATATATACACACACACACACACACACACACACACACACACACACACACCATCTGAATTTTCAATGAGTCATAGCATAGAAATATTTATTAAAATTATATACAGTAGTTATATACAGTTATAACAGAAATAGGAAACACGCTCACACACACACAAATTAAACCTAATAAAATAGTTTTTGGTCATTAAAATGAAAAAACATTTGATGAACAGTTAAACTTTAAAAACTTTAACAAAAATTCTAAACCAATTAAGTTAGAACTAATTAAAGTAGCCTACTAAAATTAAGAAATTGTTCAAATTAAAACTAAAATAAAAAATAAATTAAAGCAAAATAAAAATATTTAAAAAAAAAAACAAATAAAAACAAAAATGACAAGCAAAACTGCTAAAAATGTAAACAAATTTTAATGAAAACTGAAAATATAAAAATAAAAGCTAATTTAAAATATGAATAAATTGTGTAATAGTACATAAATAATACTAAAATAACATTGCAAGAGAGAAGCAAAACATAAACAGAGGGAACAAAAAGATTTGAAACACTTACAGAGAAAGCTTGAATTGAGAATTCAGCATTAGTAATATTTTAAGCAGTGTTATAAGTAGTATAATAAGATTTTCTTCAAGATCTGATGATAAGATACGGGTATGTTATGATATATAGTTGAAGATAAGAGAAGATAAGGCAAGATAAGATAGCTCTTTGTTTTGAATCCCTGCAGGATACTGGAACATTTTAATACATGTCCTGAAGAGTACTCAGTGATTTTCACATCAGGATGTACTGCAGCACTGAAATTAGTGGCTGACACTTTCCCCTGGAAGGCTGCATCAAATGAGGGGCCAGGAAGTCAGTTCTGCTATCTCACTGACAACCACACCTCTGCGGTGGGCATTCGCGGTGTGACCGCACTCCAGGGAGTTGGCACAGTTTCTGTTCTACCTCACGAAGTAGAGAGAAGAGCGAGAAAACCCCCGACACAGACAAATGGAGAGGAGAGCTCTGCACCTCATCTTTTCTGTTATCCTGCCCAGAGCAACTTCTCAGGCAGAAAGTATCCTCTGAGCTATGTGAAGGGAATTCAGTCTCAGCAGCTCTATCCAGCATGCGAGCACCGCGGTCGATGGTTTGTTCTCCTTGATGCTGCCTGTTTTGTAAGCTGCTCACCTCTGGATCTAAGCCAATATCCCGCTGATTTTGTGCCAATATCTTTCTACAAAATGTTCGGCTTCCCGACTGGACTCGGAGCCTTGCTAGTGAGGAATGAGGCTGCTGAGGTCTTGAGAAAAACTTACTTTGGAGGAGGGACAGCAGCGGCGTATCTTGTGGCAGAGAACTATTTTGTACCAAAGCCAAATGTAGTCAGTAGGTAGGATGTTACAGGAAGAATTTGACCTTTAATTGTTGGCAACAGCATAGTTGAGGCTACCTGTCATAATATGTTTAATGCATAATTGCTTTTTCCACAACTTTATCAGGTTTGAGGATGGCACAATCTCCTTCCTTGACATAATTTCTCTCCATCATGGCTTTGAAACACTTCAAAAACTTACAGGTTCAGAAGTTTTTGGTTTACACCTTGAACATGGTTATGATTCACATTATTATGACTTGCATTAAAAGTGGATGTTTTTGGTTTTCAGGCAGTATGCTGAACATTCAGCTTCACACATTTGGATTAGCTCGCTACACCTACATTGTCCTCTCGTGTCTGCGTCATAGCAATGGAAAACCTGTGGCACAGATCCACTGTGATAATGACTTTCAGAATATTGCCGAACAGGGTGCAATCCTCAACTTTAACCTGCTGGACTGTCATGGACGAACAGTAGGGTATTCTCAGGTCAGTCAGGAATTGACATTTTCTCCTCAAATTCATTTTAATAACCTGTAAAAAAGAAGTATATTTATAAGCAAATATTGCAGATATAAAATATGTTCAGATAATAAAGACAGTCTAAAATGTAAGAAGTAGAAAATGTTCATTACTTTATGTCTGTGCTTATTGCTATTTGTTTTTTTGTTTTTGACAGGTGGACAAAATGGCCAGTCTCTTCAATATTCATATTCGCACAGGCTGTTTCTGCAACACAGGAGCCTGCCAACATTATCTGGCTATCAGCAACCAAAACGTGAAGAGTAATTTGCATGTAAGTGGATTTTCGCCAATACAAACTTTGATGTTTTCTAGAAAGACAGATGTATAGATGGATGGACAGAAAGACGGACAGACAGATGGACGGACAGCCAGATAAATAGATAGATATAAATAGACAGACAGCCAGACATAGATGGATGGATGGATGGATGGATAGATAGATAGATAGATAGATAGATAGATGGATG